GAGGAAGGAAAGAAAATAAGTGAGGAGGAAGGAAAGTAAGAAGGAGCAGGGAGGCTGCGCGGCTGACAAATATTCGAAAACCTCTCTATTAGGTAATATGTGTTTTCGCGTCGCTTCAATTCTTCAATTTCTTCTTTCTTCAATTTTTTCTTTAATGGAAATGTATTCTACTGTAGTTCGTTGAATTGCGGTGCCTCCAGATGCGCTCAAGAACTTTCCCAAAGCTCTTTCTTACGCACTGCTCTTGAGCTATTTCTACAGTTTTTTCAATGTTGAGTACTGAAGGGTGCTCAGGGCAGCGGCCAAATGGATTTCTTTTTCAAAATCAGTGAGTTCGAAAACTCATGCAGGCGCTTACTTATTTGGGAAACACTCCACAGCGTCTCTGTGGCTCTTCCTCCAGCGAAGTCTCAGGCTCTGAGCGCAGACGGTCAGAGCACGGTAAAGCATTATGATGAATGGTGTCGCAATGTCGGTACGACCCTCCCTCCTCTCCCTTCCTCACCTACCTACACTCCTTATCCCTGAGCCAGAGTAGGCGTGGCATTTGAACATGGCACGGAACGGTTACTCGTGGAATATTCCAGTCTGGGACAACTGTCATCTTGTTCTGTGTTGGACAGAGACACGACAACAATTGTGTCAAGATGAAAATATCTCACCAGAAGCATAGACACCTTCAGGTTAAGTTGAAGCATGCGGCCACGCCTACCCGATCTCAGGGATTTCGAGTATACCATCTCTTCAAATTTTGCAAATTTCCTACCACTTTCCCCAATTTTTCTTCGAGAAAGCTGCCTTCGATCAGGGTTGAGGGAAAGACGGTAATCAAGAACCAACTATTAACCACAGCTACCAGAAGTGGTAGTGTTATAGTGCTATATTCGCGGGGGAGGCTGTATATAGCGTACACACGGGAAAAATCAGCAACCGAGAGATTTTCATCGCATCGGATCAAAGATCAGCTAGGTACTTGTTTATAGGTCTCAATCCGATGAGTGGCGGTGTTCCATGTATAAACATTGAATTTTGGATACATGAATATTTATTATATAACTAATGCAATACAGAAAGCACTGCACTACTGAAGTTACTGCAAAACTAAGAAAGTACACTGTTTTGGACGAGTAACCAACAGAGTTAATCTTTAACAATCAGAACAAGGTAAGAAACTGTTTGAACTGTGAGAAGACTATGGGTCATCGAGGTTTATCGTGGCTAGTCGGCAACTCGAATGGATTAGGCTATGGAGTCGTTTCAGGCCTCTAGGCCTTTGAAGTCAGGTGAGCCCCGATCTCTTCTCGAGAAGGGATTTTTGCCAAAAATAGTGCTCGTGGCTGTACTCCAGTCCTGGACAAGATTATTTCGCTCCAAAGCATAGTCAAGCTAGATCCCTTCGAAAAAAAGTCACTATTACCAAATACCTACCCTCGCATCATCGTGCTGTATCCTTCGATATTTGCTTTCAAACCCGCGTTAATTCTTCTATGCCAATCTCGTTTGGCTCGTAGATAGGCATTCCGTCACCACGTCGGATGAGGTGCGCCACATGACCGCGCCCACCGCAACCGGGGGCAAAAGAAAAAAACCTTCATAAATTGCAAATTAACAGCTGTAGTCACCCACACATAAACAGTGGAAAACAAGTTTACTTACCAACAGTAGCTTTATCATCTTCTCGGGGCACCCACATGGAAGGTCAGCTAGGCCTTGATCCAGTGGGTGTAGCGGTGTTCTATGTAGAAACATTGAACTTCGGGTATGCAATATGTTATCAGATTGAAGGGTGTACGGGCCATCATCTGATGGTGTAGTGAGTATAATTATGTGTAAGAAGTAGATTTTTATATATTTATGTTACATAATATGTGGGATAGTGGGGACAAGACGAAGGGAGGCAGCCCGAGGCTGACTGGTAGACGAACAGCCGTCGCTGTTACTTGTCGAGGCTAGACAGATCTCTCTGGCCGGCGACTGCTTAAATACTCGCCCATGCCATTGCATTATCATGACTTCGGTGTAGTTTGCACGAGAGGTGATGAACAGTTGACAGATGTCCGCATCCTCCATTATGCGCTTCCCGTCATAAATACGGCAATATAGTTAATTCAATACAGACAAGGGAAGAGGGGGAGGAGGAGGCTGGCGAAGCTGGGCTAAGACTTGAGACAACCAACTCCTAGCGTGAGATTGGGAAGTGAAGCCATTCCATTCACTGCCGGCTGGCAGCAGTTTAAATGCCTTCGAACGCTCGTTGCGAGACGCTGGATGATAGGCGGAGAGTGACTGATAGCCTCTTGCTTACGAGACGAAGAGATGACAATCGCAGCTTCTCAGGCTTCTTGAGGCTCAACTACTCCGGGCGGAGTAGGCTGGACGGTTCCATCCTAACCCTAGAGTCGTACGGGACACTTCATCCCAGGCCGCTTCATTCTCCTATAAACTAGACAAATTAAGAAAAGAAAACTCAAAAGTTTTCCCGAACTATCCTCTCGACCACTTGAAACTCACCTTTTGGGCCATGTGGTATTTTGCGGCTTTCCATCGTGACTGCGCGTTCCATTTCTGGGCAAAAAGACAAAACCTCAATGGGAAGGTGGGCCTCTCTTGGGAGCTGCTCTATCTTAACCATGGCGTCTGGGGACGACCAGGCGGGCTTTGGTGAAGCCTGTGCCTGCACACATTTTTGGACTCTCGGGCTTCTTAGGCCTCTCGAGGCTCACTACTGCGGCTCCGGGCTGGAGTAGGCTGGACGGTTCCATCCTAACCCTAGAGTCGTACGGGACACTTCATCCCAGGCCGCTTCATTCTCCTATAAACTAGACAAATTAAGAAAAGAAAAACTCAAAGGAAGACAAGTTTTCCACCTGAATCCCTCTCGACCAGTTGGAACTCACTTTTGGGCATGTGGCATTTATGTGCCTTTCCATCGTAACTGCGCCGTTGCCATTTCTGGCATGGCCTGTTCTTGTCGCGGAGAGCACGATGGCCGCCCGCCAGCCGGAGGTATTCCGTCTCCTTTTCCCTTCTCTTCTTTTCCTCCAGCAGTTAATTGGCGTGTGACCATTGCGGACGACACACCAAACACTCTTCCATCTGAAAGCTATCTGAACTATACGAGTGAAATTTTTTTTCACGGAAAAAAACCACAGGAGGCTCTTCAATGTCTTCAATGGAATCGTCCGTAAAGTAGCCCTCTTCCTCGGCCAACAAATCAGTCAATGAGATGTCACTATCATACGACATTTTGAAGATTCTGAAATCAGTACATCATACTCTGAGAACCTTAACGACTTCCAAAATAGACACGAAACTTGAGTAGAGAAGAGCAAAGAGGGCAGAAGGTAAGAAAATTCCCTAGGACACAACCACCCAAGAACTACCAAGGACCGATGAATGGTAAGCCTACATTACATTTTCTCCTCTCCCTAATCTTGTGCAAACATACCACCTAGGTCATGTCAGCCGCCTCACTAGTTCGTAATCCAATCGGATTATGCAAACATACTGCTGGCCGACAGGACGTAGTAGGATATTGGGAAGAAAAATTCAATTTTCTACCAAGAAATAATAATGTAGACACCTTATAACCCAATAATCACATGCACAATTTTCAATCAAGGTCTTGTGCATGGCGCAATCCAGCATTTTTGAGCTTCTTTCATAGAATAATAATGTAAAAAACCCATAACCTAGTAATTATTAGTACAATTCCGAACCAAAGTCACATGCATGGCGCAATACCCAGGTCTAACACCCTATACACTCGACTAGGATCATTCATTCAACTCATAAAATAAGCAAACCTATTCACACCCTTCCCATCATAGGTCCAACTGTCAGAGGTGAGTAGGGACACGACGCATCCCATAAAAGCCATTAAAGGCAGTTGGCACGATAAATCCTTAAAGACGAATAGGGTCAATATGACTGGCAGAACGGAATTCTGCGCTCCTAGGAAGGCGCTGCGCAGCGCCCTTTCCAAGGAAGGTACCCTTATAAGGGCCTATCAAGCTACAACATACCGACCCGAACGCCCACCACGCCCGCCCGCCCACAAATGGACGACCGTTCCTGACGCTCGTATTCATTCATTTGCTAAGCAAATTATGAAGCGAAGGGATTGGTATGAAGCGGCCGTGTGCTGCATGGATATATGAGCACATAAATGCAGCCGTATCTTCGGTGGCGATTACTGGCAAAATGCTTACGGAGATCGATTTTCAAGTCATTGAGAACGAAGGCTTTTCTTCGCAGGATTTTGACCGTTTCACTCCGTTCTTTCGCCATTTCCCCACTATATAGCGCCCTGCTAGCATTTTAGGCCGAGTACCAAATTGTCGTGCCAACAGCCTTTAAAATAAATACTTCGCATTCACCTCCATATTTCCTTATGTAAAGTTATTGAAATTCCATGTAATTTCAACCTTATGATTGGAAAATGCCACCACAACCCCTAACCTTCTCCTGAGCAATTTCAACCCATTAAAAATCATTTTAGGTTTCAAAAACTTAATAAGTTCTACCTCGCCGTCTCCGAAGGAGGAGCTCGGAGCTTGTGCTCCCATTTTCAGCCCCTATGAGCAATCTCACCTCCCATTTTCAGTGAAACAGATCCAAATTATAGCAAATTAAAGAGAGTAAACTAGGATATGCGTAAAAAGTCGGAATGCGAGAGGCCAGAGTGCTCATAAAACGCCATGAAGACGTGAGAGCTCTGAAAAAAAGAAGTTGGGCCAGAGTTTTAGTACACGTCCAAGTTGTCTGTGGACCGCACGGGAGAATGCCCACACCCAATAAGTTGGCCCCAGGGCACATCATTGGTTGGGGATTCTAGTCGAGTCTGTACGACCCCCCTTTTTTTGGGGAGGGGGGTGGTACGACCCTCCTCCCCTCCGGCCCTCTGTTCCTCCTCATCGAATCGAGCCGTCGAGCGCGGGGAGGGGGAGGGGCGTCCGTGAAGCGAGAAAAATCAACTATCAAAATAAATTTTTCCCAGCCCAAATACGACCCCCCCTATTGGGGATTCCCCAACGATGTCCCCTGGTTGGCCCACCGTTGATTCGGTTCAAATGGCGCCAAGGCGGGATTCGCCATGGAGCGCGATTTTTCGAAATTTGTTTCGAAGCCCGTGATGGTTTCATTTGGGGACGGTTATCGTTTGTTTCGTTAGTATTGCTATTTGTCTCTATCGCCAACTGGGGACCTATTTAATTTGAAACAATCGAAATGGCGTGCCTTTTGTTCTTATCACTCTTTGAAATTATGTTCGTTTGAAGTCGTGTTTGTGATATATGAAAAAAATCTTAGTTTTCAAATTGTAGAAATGGATGGGAACGCCCAGCAAGTAACACTTGCATTACAAGGAACCCTTCAGCTCGATCCCAACGTAAGGAAACAAGCTGAGAATCGAATTTTTGAGTTCGAGAAAGTTTCAGGTGATTTTTGCGAGAGTTACAATACCCGGATTTTCAGAATTCCAAAGACATATGCTCTCTTTTGCTTAAGTCCATGAAAAGAAAAGACGAAGACGCTTTTGGCGATGATCTTTTTCTCAATATTAGGGAGCGTCCTGATTCAGTCTTACAGATGGCTTTTTTGCGGCCTGGCCTATAAAATCATTTGTGCGCAGTAACCGATGTGCAGTTCAGTGTTTTTTCTCCTGGCTCGATTCAGGGAGGGCCTCCTATGAGTGGAACGCTGGGTTGGCCCGGGCGGGAGTCGATCCGTAGTCTAACCCCCGAGCGTACATGTGGTAAGCGGGGCCACCTGCCACTCTACCGCCCTCGCCATGTTGTGGGGGGGGGACGGAAGAGGTCCCAAGAATCGTCAGGGGTTATTCTTTATGTATATGTAGTGTATGAAGATCTAAGCTAAAATGATAGGCTGAACCTTTTTCTTTAGGTTTTGCAACACTCCTTCTTCAGCTAGTTTGCTCTGAAGAAGCTGTGCCAGAGATTCGCATGGCGGCCGCTGTTGCATTGAAGAATTTCATACGAAAGAACTGGGTGAGCTACTGTTCCTTTTTGGAGCTTCTTTTTGTTAAAACGAACAAAAATTCATGAAAAGGCGGTTTTTTTGACAGAATGTAGGATTCTGGGCGCTAACGTAGTGGGGGGGGGGGCGGCTTGGCCGCGTCTACCTACCCCTTCCCTAGAAGGTCTCAGGCTTACGGCGTAGACGACCAGAGTTGCCGAGAGATTGTCTCAGAGAAGACAAGATCTTCGCTGGGCCTGAGCCTTGATTAGAGGCAAGTGGTCCCCCCCCCCCTAACTACGAAGCGTCAGTTAAAATAGTTACTTGCTCTTCGGTTAACGTCTCTTCGTTAACTCTGATTATGAGAAAAGTCTCCCGAATTCTCCGGTTCCCTGCCTATTCTCGTTTGATATTTCTTCGTTGATTTCAGTAGTACTGACATCCTTTTACAGGGAGAAACACCCGAAGTTGATATGTCTCCTGAAGAAGAAGAACAAATTCGTCAATCCGTACTTCAGGGAATGTTCCTCATTCGAGGTACTCTGCAAGGTCAGCTCTCCCATGCCGTGCAACTGATGGCCAAGGTAGAGCTTTCTATTTGGTTTATTGTATTTTAGGGGTTTGGAAAAAGTCTGCTATCTCTCCGAGTTAATTCGTGAACTTCCACAAGTTTGTAACCTGACAAAATGGCCAGCGAGAAAGTGAAACGCTGCATTTTCTTTGGAGTGTTGCACGACGGGCTGGGCGATACATATACAAGGTTCCAAGCGGCTTGATAAGTGAAGTGATCCCGGATAATTCGGGGAGCTCAGGGCCTAACGTAATTCGGCGGTGAGTTCAAGAAAAGGGATGTGATGTAAGTAGGGGGATCGGGGTACTCACAATTTCTCAAACTACTATTTATACACAATTCTTGCCTCGATCTTCAGGTCCTTTGCCAAACGCTTTGATTAGAATTTGGGGCCTCTTCGGCTTGGGAGGGGGGGGGGGGGGGAAGGGAGGGCATTCTGCACCTTAGCTAGTTCCTGCTTCGTCTACGTGTTGACTATGTAAAAAGAAAAACTTATGTGAAGCTGAAAAATTATGCAGCTGAACAACTTTGGTTCAGGAACTTGCAGGTCGTCACAAATTTACCCTCATAAGAATCGCTGAGTACCATTAAGTGCCCACCCTAAGGCAAACTGCGCCCAAATTGCTTGCTCCACCACCTGTACAGAACTTTGCATATTTGCTATTTTCAGCGAGATTTCCCTGAACGTTGGCCCTCATTGGTTCCATCACTTGCGGAACATTTAAAAGTTGATGATCTGGGGCGTCTGGTTGCAGCTCTATCAGCCATGGATCAGCTTTTCAAAAAGTTCCGATACGAAAGCAAATCCACTGCTTTGTGGACGGAACTGAAGTCTTGCTTGTTAACTGTGAGTTACGCCTTGTTCCAGTCTGGTTTTTGAATTTGAGTGTATGCTTTGGAAGCCATTTTTCCTTTTCAATAATTAACCATTGCAGGTGCAAGAACCACTGACTCAAGTATATGCTAAAATGATTGAGTTTATTCCACAAAGGTCAACAATGTCAGCCGAATCACTTACCCAATGGCTTGAAATTCTTTGCCTTGTTGCTAAAGTGTTTCACTCGTTGTGCTTCCAAGATCTCCCAGAATACTTTGAGGTGAGTTCTGTTTCAAGAATCTTCTCCAATATTCTCCTTTTAAAATGTCCACGTTCTTTAATTGTTGAATTTTACCTTCCGAAGGAAATTATGACTGCTATTTGCTTCGAGTGCTTCATACTTTGCGGCGTCTTCTGGGCGTCCACTAGGTTTGCAGCAATGATCGATCCCTATACTTCCTTATTCGCTCAAAATGCTCAACACGCTGGGTACGTTCGAAACGCTGGCAGAAGCTCAAATAGCTGGATCGATACCTATAGTTTCTTAGTCGCCCAAAAAGCTAAAGCTAAGTGTGATGCCCTCCTACTTCTCGATGCTCCCTAATAGACCAGTTTCATGAATAGTTGTGAAGACGAGGTTTGCTGCAAAGAGTCCATTCATTTCAGGATAATTTAAAACCATGGGTGGAAGGGTTTTTGGAAATCATGAAAATGGACTGTCCTGGGATTTCTTCAAGCGCTGGAGAACCCACGTTTCTCGATGAGTTAAAGGTTAGTTGTCTCTTAACAGCAATTGATTATCTTCTGCTAGTTGAAAGTTGCAAGGGACACATGTTACTCATAGACTTTTTGGGTCCAGTCTTGAGAAGTCGCTTTTTCGTGCCGGTCGTGACATAACGTTTGCTTACAGATGGAAGTTTGTGAGATATTCACCTTGTACGCCCAACGGTTTGAAGAAGAGATCAATCCATTCATGCAGAATATTATCCAGGCGGTATGGCAGCTTGTGGTGCAAACCGGTAATGAGACAAGGTATGGGTGGATCTCATCAAACGGTTTTTCAAGTCACCAGCATCACAGATATGCAAAGCCGAAAACTCACGGGATCTTTGAGTGTGCCTCTTCTTCTGAATTCCCTGAGGCCTGCAGAGTTATTTGTCCCTCCGCAATTTCGAGTTCTCCACTCATGCGTAGCCCGTGCCATAACCCCAGCTTCAAAGGCACTGAATGTTCACAAAATGAACTTACCTTTAAGAAACGCACGTAAAGCATGTTTCACAATCAATTCATATAAGATAACTAGGCGCTGTTCGGTTCGGTGGGCGCATTTTGCTGCTTCCCATCGATCACTACCGATGCCTCCTGTGGAGGCCTGTGATTTTCCCTGAATATGCAATAGCATAAACTTTGTGTCCGCTTCACAGGAGACAACAGTTCTCACCATGGTGTGACATGTATTTCAAAAAGAAGCTAGCCTCGGTGCGGTATGCCCCTCCCAAGCCGAACAGCGCTTACAACTGGATATAATGGCTACAGAAGTGGCAAAGTAATTGTGATGAATCGTTTGCTTTGTTGCGCTATAACTTCAACAACTACAAGATGAATTGAGTTTTTTCCAAACAAGTAAATATAGAAATTAGGTTGTCACTCCTGGGCTGCACGCCGAACGTCCCGATGCTACATTTGCGAGCCATGCTTTGGCTTTTTGTGAAGAGACGTTTTCCATGAAGTCTTTCATAGACTCTACTGGAGTCCCTCTTGATACTTTTTGCTGCTTGCTCCCGTCTAAGGGTTTGTATGGAACGGCAACTGAGCTTTCCCTGCTTGTGACCCCCCCCCCTCAGTATAAGTCATTTGTTCGGTTTTTCATGACGGTCAATAATTCAATTTCAACGATTTCTGTTGGAATTTATGTCACAGGTTTGACGGTATGGTTTGTGCCGCGTTGGAATTCTTATCAATTATCTGCCAGAAAAACCACTATGAAAGCTATTTTGTTGGAGAAGGCGTTTTGCAAACAATAGCTCGTGAGTTCTTTAACCATATGTCATGACTAGACCTCTGATGTGTTCCCTATTTCCAAGAAATCTGTGATTTCAGAGGATGTATGCGTGAAAAACCTTCATCTGAGACAGGAGGATCTAGAAATGTTCGAAGATGAACCTATTGAGTATATGAAGAAGGATATTGAGGGTTACTAGTTTTTTTTTAAACTTTTTCCTGCGGATCTGGAGAATTTCGCTTTATAGGAACGGATACATGCACTCGTCGTCGTGGTGCAATTGATCTTGTACGTGCCTTATGTCGCAAGTTCGAGGAGCGGTTAGTGCCAGTATTAGCTCAGGTATCGCCTTTAGCATACATGTTGGCCAGTGCAGTTCGGCCTAGTAGGGGCATTTTGCAGGTTCCCATCTTTCACTGCCGGTTCCTCCTGTGGAGACCTGTGAATCCTTGTTAAACCTTACAATAGCTGGAGTTTCGTTAACACTTGACAAAAGTCAGGCTTCACCAAGCTATGACATGAATTCCACACGAGAAACTGGCAGTGAAAGATGGAAGTGCAAAATGCCCCTCCCAAGCTGAACAACAGGCGCTAGATTTGTTGCGCCAATGTTTTCTACAATTGTTTCTCCTTTCAGTTAGTTCAATCGTTGTGTTCCGATGGTGACTGGATAAAGTTGGATGTGGTCTATTGTCTGGTTACTGCTATAGCATCAAAAACCGAAACTGCAAAAAGTGGTGTGACGAGTACAAGCCAGCTGGTTAGTATTGTTATCCTTGTTGCTGCTCTTTGTATTGATTTTGCCCCAAATCCGTTAGTTTATGATGTGGAGCTATAGTAGTTGGCCTTCTATGTTCTTAGTTTTCCGTCTAAACCATTTTGGACACATCGCTTGATTGTTGTGGGAGATCTAGCTATTTCCTTTTGAAGGCTTACTTCATGGTGGGCACACTGTTTGTTTCATATTTTTTTCAGATAAATGTCGCTGATTACTATGCAGGGCAAGTACGTGGTCACCTTTCAGCCAATACTGACGATATGCCTATCCTTAAAGCTGATGCTCTTAAGTACGTCATTCTGGTAATCTGTTTCACCATTCAATTAACATTGTGTGTATCACAAGTTCGGCTTTGGATTAGTCTCGGCATCAGAGATGTAATAATTCAAGATGATTCTTCAGCCTTCCGAGATTTGTACAGATAGTTTTTATTGGACTAACGTTTTTGACAGGTAAAAGTTCTACTGGGCATTCTGAGTTTCAAGACTATTGGATGGCAGTTGACAGATCTCCTAGCGCAGTTTCTTACTGTAGTTAGAAATGGTGATGGGGTGACTGTTTCGATGATAAGTTTCGACTTGCAGGCTCCGAAGAAGGCGATGTTCGCCGAAACGTTAGTCCAATAAAATATCTGTACAAATCTCGGGAGGCTGAAGAAACATTCTGAATTATAACATTGTGTATTACTTTCAACTGTGATGGAAGTACCGTATTTAGGTTTGTTGTGACATTCCGTAATCAACTCCCTGCCGAGGTACTGGTTGAGGTAATCCAAGCAGCTGATCGTCTGCTGTTGTCACGATTCACAATTCTGCACAAATACGCTGCGTATGCCGTCGACAAGTTGTTGCTAGTTAAAGAGCCGAACAGTACGGTATGTTTTAAGGTCTGCAGAAGCAGATGTGACTCATACGGGGGAAAGGACATGCGATTTGTGGGTTGAGTAGTGTGTTTGTGCGAGGCTTCAGTTCTGCACAGTAAGTAGGTTAGCGCCAGCATGCTTGCTTCCGGTTGTTGTGGGTGTTTATTTGCCTGGGAACAGTCTTGTTCGCTGCGGATGATGGGGCGTGTCAATGAGGCTGTGTTTGGCGCTCGTCTGCCCGTACTTCACGACTTACTGAAGGGATAGGCGACAGCAGTGGGTGGAAAACAACTGATACGAACGGTATGAGTCTTGTCGCTTGCCGAAAGAAAAAAAAGAAGCGAGCTAGTGCCGTGTCAAACGCGGCCCCCTGACACGCCCCCCCCCCCCCATCATCCGCTGCGAACAAGAGTGTGCGTTGTCAAGCCAGTTGTTGCGGGACCACCCCTCTCCGCCTAGATCAAGCGCTGCAGGACGGCCCATGTGAATGAGGGCTTCTGTAAGATTACTCCATGAATCCGAGCCCATGATTTCTCCAGGCACTCCTTGTTACTCGAGTTTTTGGTTACCTAAAGACAACAGCGTAGATACTTCTATCTTCCTAATTTCAGGCTCCGTTGTTAACGGCACGAGTGGTACCTGTTGGATCTCTTCTTAATAATCTTGTCGCAGGATTTGATAAAGACCACAAGGCACAGAACTCTCCCTACCTCATGAAGGCTGTACTGCGATGTGTGGCCATTCTCGATGTATGTTTTGAATATTGTTTATTCATAAACTACTTTCTGATTATCGTGTTTTGTTTTAGGAAGAAACAGCTCGCCACGGTCAAGAGATTGCCTCAAAACTTTCGTCTTTGGTAGCGGCAGCGACAAAGAGTCCTGCAGATGCAGTTCACACGCACTTCCTATTCGAAACAATGTGTGTGCTTATCAAAAAGGTGTAGTTTTTGTAATCAGTATTGGGGGACATTTCATGAAATGGGTGGATACTCAAGGTCGACTGGTTCAGTTTCGCCTCTAGTAACAAGACTTGTAATTTTAGACTGAAAGCTTGCCGCAAGGTAGTCTGGACGCTGAATTAATGCCTTTGATCGAAACGATTCTCAGTCAGGATATTGCTGATCTCATACCATACGCTTTGCAGATCACAGGTTAGCGCTGTTTATGTTTATTTGTTGTTTTGTGTGTGATTACTGACCTTGTCATTAGGCGTACTTCTTTCGTCGTCGCTTACGCGATCAAAAACGGTTGATCAGAAGTATGTTTCATTTTTACCATATCTTCTGTCCACGGAGCTGTGGGCGCGGTCTGCAAATGTGCCAGCAGCTTTGACTGTTGTAGAGGTATGAGCTCTTCCGTCGAGTAGAATTTTAATAGCAATTTTGGGCGCGGTTGGGTTTGGTGGGAGCACTGAATGGCGCCCAGCTAGGCTTGTACGAGCTATCTTTGTAAAAACCTGTAAAATCGTGTGATCAAAGTGGCTCACTGGTATCATGTGACAGCTTCACAGAAGTTTACAGGTCTCACCAACACGAACTTACGAATGCAACTAGTGAAAGTGCACAATGCCCCTCCAAACCAAACTGCCGAATTTTTTGCCCCACTAAACGGCCATGAACTGTTTTAGACATTCCTGAAACACTGTCCTGAGTTGATTATGCGGGATCACGGTGCCTTAGTGATGCAGCATTACTCGAGGTATCTGCAGTATATCTGTCTGATTTTTTTTACCTTCACAGATCTCCCGCTCGTTTGGGTGCAATCCTTGTTTCCAGGCTAGTGGGATCGAAATCACTTGATCAATACGGTTTCCAAATGGCAAATGCTATACTGCCAGTTGTCGAGGTAATAGCTTTGTCATTTCGTCTCCATAAACAAGTATTAGGCTGCGTTCATACTCGTCAGCGTCGAGCGTGCGCCAGCGTTTCGAGTGTGCGGCAGCGTTTTCAGCGGCTAGCTGCGAAATGCTCAAAGCGCTGGCATCCGCTCAGAACGCTAGGTCGATATATACTTTCCTGGCCTGGCCGCTGAAAACGCTTCGGTATCCTGGCTAAACGCTGACGCTAAGTATGAACTCTCTTGTAATTTCTGTGATCCATTCAGATGGTGCAAGGCGTTGAGAATCCGATGAGTGTGTTACTAAACAACATGTTCCGGCGAGTACAATTCAGTAAGACACCAAAGTTCATGAAGCATTTCGTTGTTTTCCTGTGTCGATTTGCGGTTGTACGGGGAGCAGAGCATTTTGCCAAGGTTTGCCTTTTCTCTCCTGCTTATTTTCCATTCGACACATGTATGATCCCTCAAATGTTTTTAGTCAGTGGAAGCTATCCAGACGGGCATGTTCCGTATGCTGTTGGAGAAGGTTGTGGTTGCTGAGATGCCAAACCTCCAGAACATGACGACGTTAGATGATAAACGAATGATAGCGATCGGCGTAGCGAATATGCTGGCCGATGCAACAAACTATGTCGGGTGAGTGCTTCAATTCTTGGCTTTGATTTGAACAACTGGGCCACAAAAGGGTGCGTACTAAGATTGCTGCTAGTTTTGTTGGTGCGGTTATTGGTGTAGGTTTTTATTTCCACACTGAACTGTTTCAGAGATCAATACGGCCCGTTGGCAATCGCAACAGCTCAGCTAGTTGAAGCCCCATCAGCGACCGATCGGCCCGTTCTGTCACCGGAGGAGGAGCAGGTATTGGTTGCATTCACTGTTTGTAGATCGTAAGGCATATCATTACACTGTGGGGTATTGGCTCCGAGGCGTGATATAGGGATGAGGAAATAACATTCATGAGTGGTAGGAATTGATAAGAGCTGATAAGGTGTGATGAAAGGATAAAGGGTAGTCTTCGCAGTTGATCAATCCCTTTGAGGATCCGCCACATATTCTACTTCCATTCAGAATCGTAGTGGCTTACTGAATGCGATGTGGACTTGCGGGGGCCAGCCGATGTACAAGTCAGTGTTCCTATCCTCCCAGACGGATCTGGTACCGATTTACCTTTCCCTATGAGCAGAGGGCTTGGTTGGCCTGGGCCCAGGATTTGAACACAGAAAGATAATGATAACCGAATTTATAGCGTGAGTTTCAGCAGCTGTGGGCGTTAGCTTTAAGGAGTGATATAGGGCCTTTTTGAGAGGCGATGGTAGGTGCTAACAAGTGATAAGAGTTGACAAGAGGCATCAGAAAGCGAAGGTTACCAAAAAGACATGCATGTTGACTTTTGAGTTCTGTCGGGTTGTTATCCTACAAAATTGTGAGATAAGATTTTAACAGTATCTCAATCGCACCTTTTCATTCAACTCACTCATTCACAGGCATCAATGTACAATGCTGAAGGAGAATTCACGAATCCGTACTGCCGCCTCAGTTATGCTCCTCGAGCGGATCCTCTTGCCCCCGAAATCACTAACTTTAAGAGTAAGTACTGCATTTCTCACTTGTTTTGCTTTCAGTAGCATCGCAACCAGCATAATTTCATTACTCGAATAAACGGAGGGTGTTATGGGAGATTCACTTTGCGGTAACGGTGGTAACGCTCAGAAACTAGAAGAAAATTCCCTAGCTAGTTGACTGGACATACTGCAGCACTTCCGCGTCGAGCTCTTTGGGTCCTATAGCGTATGTCTCACGCGTGGGACCATTTACGATACCTCGTAGCCGCGAACGTGGATCTCCTTAACGGTAATTATTTTGGAAAGATTACACTAAAATCACTCGTTTTCAGATTACCTTGCACGTGCCGTTCTTCAACGCGGTCCCGCAGCGAACTCTGCTGTTGAAGCTTGCATTCCAGCTGAATTACGAACTCATTTGATGGCATATGTTTCACTCTAACAACAACTTTTTAATTTCATATGTTACTCTGTACAATTACGCTCTGATGACCTTAAAGTGAGAGGTTCCTTCCCGGTTATGCAATCTCATATCTTCCCTACTTGCTCTTCTTTGTGAATCTATATTCGGGCCATACTAGAACGAGGTAGTTACTTTGTCGATAGTTAGAGTTCTTCCAGAGTTGGCGAGCACTTCAGCTGGATAAGTATCCGATACTGCTTTCGCAGAAGAGACCTAATCAGTAGGGGACGCCACCGTCTCTTGGAGGGATATTTGGCGACGCCCACAGGACCAGGTTTTTCGGGGCTACGCTGGCTTACAAGTGATGGGGCAAGTGTGAATGCTCCAATCCTGCTTTTAAGCCGTGAGGAACATCGACATTCACGAAAACTAACACTTTTTTGTGGATGCCCCGAAGGCTTGCGGTGCTCGCCAACTTCGAAAGAATCCTCAAAACATGCCATGCTTTAGAATTCTTTCGAAGTTGGCGCCGGATATTCTCCTTTCACTGATTTGTGGAGTTGATAGTTAGAGTTCTTCCAGAGTTGGCGAGCACTTCAGCTGGATAAGTATCCGATACTGCTTTCGCAGAAGAGACCTAATCAGTAGGGGACGCCACCGTCTCTTGGAGGGATATTTGGCGACGCCCACAGGACCAGGTTTTCGGGGCTACGCTGGCTTACAAGTGATGGGGCAAGTGTGAATGCTCCAATCCTGCTCTTAAGCCGTGAGGAACATCGACATTCACGAAAACTAACACTTTTTTGTGGATGCCCCGAAGGCTTGCGGTGCTCGCCAACTTCGAAAGAATCCTCAAAACATGCCTATATCCTGCCTTCGGGGATATTCTCCTTTCACTGATTTGTGGAGTTTCTGTGAACAGCTCGATTGGTTCGTTCTCAGATCACCGTTAATCCCTGTTCTGAGATATACTGCAGACAGGACATCAAATATCAATACTGTTTTGGATTTTTATCAAATTTCGTCTAGGTTTCAAAAAGTTTATAGGTTTTTCAAAATTGAATACAGTATGTTTGAAAATAAATGATTTCTGCCCTGCATCTGAACTCGCCCGTGATAGTCTTGTTTGGTAAATAGACAAACCCAGAACAAAGCTCCTTAACTTGCGAGTTTCCCGGACATGTTGATCTCACGAATAGGGCCATTTTCTGGTTCACCGATTCTTTCAGCCCTGGAGCACAAAGATCAAAGAAATGACAGAACGTTTTAAAAAAGTGACTTCGAAAAGTGAAAAAAAACAGCCTACCGTTCCTCCAACTTGTGGAACTAATTAAAACTGCATCAACTGTTAACCAAAGCAGCTTAAAGATCATCCTTCCTTATGAAACAGATTGGTTTTCAACCAAGATACTCCTGTTCTGGTAATCCAACAGAACCCGCACTTCCTTTGAGGTAACATAGATAGCCATTGGAATTACCGGTACACTTTGATGATTGTTGTTGCATAACAGATGTTGAGCGTGACCTCGCTGACATAAAGAGGCACGCCCAGATATGTGAGCATTCCACTACTACTATTCTACCACTGAACACCTTTGCTAAGGTGAATAAATTAGTTGTAAGCCAAAATAGCTTACACAGAAGAACTCTGCGGGAGCCACAATACTCCCAAAGAATCAAAAGCCGCCTAAGTCATCACATTTTTTGGTGCATCGGCCGGGAACATTCCGTTGTCACCTGAGGTCTAAGGTGCTATGTGCGATCGCTGCATGCATTGTCGCCTGGAGCATTACCAGTAGTAATAATACAGAGTTGCAATTAATTTTGCAGTATGATCGGACACTCTGTGAAGGATATTCGGCTTGTTCTACTAAGGTCATGCTGATCTACGTATCTTGATCTTGGGTATCTTCTAGACTACTTTCGAACCCTTTTGTAATATCGTGAGCTGTGGTTTTTTTTAATTTTCGTTCCAATTTCGTTCTCGCAGTGGCTTGTATTTCTTTATCAGTTTTCTCAGGTGTAGATTTGAGCTTTTGTTCACTGAAACTTCTTATTTCGAGGGGGTAAAGCCGACTTCATTGGGCGATGAAGAATTTTCTTATTAGGCAGTAGCAATTTTACCGATCTTACGACTCCATCATTGCTCGTTATATTCTCAGTAACTTTTCCATGGCACCAACTTCCGTTTGGAAGGAAATTTTCACCTGTGAGCACCATCTCACCGACTTCCGGTGTGGCCCTTGTGATATGCCTTTTTTGCTTCAAGCGGATCCTGTGAGATTCCCACAGGTAGAGCAGATATTCATTGCTCCCTTTTCCAGAATTTGACCGCTATATTTTCGGAAGACTTTACCGCTTCTTCAGCTTGTTTTACTGTTCGCATCTCATCTGGGTCATAAGATTCACAATTCGAAGTGTCGTGACCGCTGACACCAAAGAGGCACGCCCAGATATGTGAGCATTCTATCGTCGTCTCTGACGACGATCCCATCCCTCATCGTCGTCTCACAGTCTGAGGCGACGATCCCTCATAGAGTCAGCCCCCTACCTGACGCGGGGTCAAGCCAGGTAGGGGAATAATACTTCCTCATATCGCCCGCAAGGGATACACGTGGGTTCACTTTGCCATAAAGAGTTACTAGCTTATATTCTTGTTCTCGACGTTAACATACACTAGCTTATATTCTTGTTCTCGACGTTAACATACCACTGAACCACCCCAACAATTCTGGTGCATCAACCTAGAAAAAAAGCCGATTATACCATCCATATTTTTGGACGTGGCTTTTAACAACATAACAAATAGAGCCGAACGCGGTTCTATACTAAGTAGTCAAATATGTAATAGAATCGAACGTGATTCTATACACCAACCTTTCAACTTTTGAGTATTTCAAGAACTTTTGAACAATAAAAATGGCGCTTCATTTTTACAGAAAACCTATCATCGCAAGCGCCAATACCCTTAAAAATTTGGTAGCGCGCTATAGGGAATACACCACTAAGGTGGACTTTCTAAATATTGATGAGGAGACCTACGAAAAATGTAGGTCCACCATCGCCCTTTTGCAAAGCAGCATAAAGCAGATAAAAGAAGGGAGCGAAAAGTTGCAAAAACTTCATGAGGGAGGGGAATATAAAGCAAGCAATAGTAAGAAAGAAAAGACATCGTGCTCGAAATCGAGCAAATATAGGAAGGCTCTAACTACCATACTATCACCGATGTGTCGATGCCAATGTGGACGAGCTCGGCTTCGTACTTGCTGCCCACTTAGACGAGGCAAAATGTGCGCGAGATAGAATGCACATAACGCAGAAGGCCCAAAGGGCACTGAACCTTGAGTCAGAAGACCGCGGGAATAGGCCCGACGAGAATTCCAAAAAACAGCGCCTCAGTCGCTTTTAGTAACCCCACAGCTAACGCCACCGAAGTAAGGGCCACTGAGCCAGCATGCCAACCAAGGAGCTGCCGCTCAGTGAAATCCTCACAAGCTTCGCTACCAAGTTCTATGGCAGCGCCGAAGAGTTTCCAGAATACTGGGCAGTCTTTGAAACGCTAGTCCACAACAGTAGCGAACTGGACACCATGGAGAAGATCTTACTCCTCAAAGAAAGTCTGATGGGCAAAGCTCCAAAATTCCATAAAAGGAATCAGACTAGTCCCGGAAAATTATGGCTGGCTAGTGATTATGACCGTCCATCACTCTCGTCCAAGTTCCCTCCCCTTCTCCCTTTGATGCTAGTATAATGAATATGTATCGCCTGAAGTCTTTTTGTATTCAATATCGCTACACCTTCACATTTAGGCGTCACTAACCTGTAATCTGATATGGAATTCCTGGTAAGACAATTTTTTTTGATCATCATGTAGTTTAACATAACTTACCAACAACAAAATGTTTCTATGAGGGATCCATTTTTTTGGAACCCCTCCAGTCCCCCACCCTCGCCCACCCCAAACCCCTCTTCGTCTCGATAAATGCACATCTCAGAAGAAGACTCGGGAAGGAATTTTACACTGGACGATCTACTGCTTACAGGTAAGCTTTGCAATTTTTTTTGTTTTGAATATGCATATTTCATAGAAAATTTTCAAATTTCAAAAAGTAGAGGGAAGAGGGCTCTACCTCTTCTTTTGAGATGGGTCTAGTTTTTAAGTTGTACTTGAGAATGCACACCGTGCATTATCAACAAGTACTATTATAGTCCTGGTGACGAGATCCCCTTTCACGGCCCATTTTGCCATAGTTCAGCATACGTCAAACCAGTGCAGTAGTTTGTGAACCATTCATCGTGAAAGAAACCTCGGCCGTTGGTGGAAGAGGAAAACTTCCAGTCCAGTTAAGCCCAATATTTATTCTTGCATTTTAGTTCCTCTAATGATTGTTGGGGCGAAGCTTAACCTTAACGTGTACCTCGGCAGAAGATCAGGCTACTGATACAGTAGTAAAAGCACTGATCAATGATGTTATTTCGAAGCACGGAATCCCTAACGAAATAGTTTCGGATCGTGGTTCGAATTACACTAGCGAGGTGTATGCTAAAATCAACAAAGCACTCGGTATAAAGAATAAATTTACAACTGCTTATAACCATAAGGCTAATGGACAAGCAGAACGACTAGTG